TCTCTCTCTCTCTCGTTTCTTTCTTTTCAGCCGGAGCAAAGTTGAGAACACGGTGAACGGTGCCAAGTGGAGAACTTTAACGACGGGATAAAATTTAATCAACGAAATTTAATCCAATCGCGGCGAGAGGCACGACGCAGAAGCAGATCTGGCTGGTTCTTGTTACGGAAACAATACCCGGAACCAGGCAGAGGAGGGGGGGAAGCAATTATTTTCAAGCTCTGTGTCTCATATATATATATATATATATATATAGCGTAGTATCGTGCAATTACCCACCTCCTTCTCCAGGACGTTCTGACGATCGTGAATGATTATCCAGCCCATACGCCAGCCAGGCACTAAAAATCTGAAACATCCGGCAAGATTATCGTTTACCTGGTAATGCGCCCATTGTTAGAACTCGATTTACTCGCCGCTGGACGAGAGAATAGCAAAGCGATGGGAAATGGAGTGGACATAGTTTTACAGTTAGACGGAGGTCTCCCACTCAAGTTATATTATGTCGATTATATTGTTCTCTCTGGTGTGATAGAAAACGCGAAACAGGGTACTCGAATCGATTACTGGAAATTTCAGTAGCCATTAATGATCATTAATGAACACTGGCGACATTGAAATCCGAAAAAAAAAACTGTTGAAGCTGTTATAATTTTTGTAACAATTATCATTACAATTATAATGAAAAAGGAGTCATTATCATCGTATTATTGCAATTATAACGAGTAATTATTGTTATTATCCACTGTTATTGATCTAATAATCTTTTCTATCGTGTATAACTGGAATATCATTTGTTTCTAGATTCTTTGAATTCTATCGCAACAAATCTTTATAGTGAAAAATTTTTCCTACGATCAAATTAGATTTTTACGATAATAAACCTTGGCTCGTTTCCGAGGCTTGAGGTCTCTACTTTCAAAATGCATGAAAATATTAAAAAAAAAAAAATTGTTTTCGCGACTGAATCTACAATGGATTCGAAGTTTGAAACACTCGATTCCTGTTCACCAATTGATTAAAATCCGGGTAACAGGCAGAAACGATTCCTCGAATCTTCACCGTTCTCCAAGCCTAATATTTGAATTTCAGTAAAATGACAGAAGGGAAATCGTACGTCAAGTTATTGCAAAGGATAGAGAGCCACGAATTATTCAAGATCTTTCAATATTTCTGCATACCGTGATAATCTGTAGCATTTCCGAAGAAGAAAAATCCATCTGTCTGCCACGTGATGTAAAAATATTTTCGAACAAAATGATTCTTTTCACCAAATTGTAAAATTGATGTAAAAATATTTTCGAACAAAATGATTCCTTTCGCCAAATTGTGACAGTTTCAGTATTTAACAAGAGGGAGTCACAATTAAAATCAAATTATTGTAATTCATTGTCTGAAAGTTTTGCACACGTAAACGACGTTTCTTTCTTTTTTCCTTTTCTTTTCTTTTCTTACGGCGAGCTAAACTGCAAACTGCTTAAACTATCGTCAAAGTGGGAAGCAACACGCGCCACTGACGGTGTCCAGGTTGCGTGTAAACGTTCACCGCCGCAAAACTCCCCGGCGCTCAGCCACCAAGAATTCGCTGTAATATTGATTCCGCGACGCTCGTGCAATTATGTATACGGAATGTAGACCGTAAACCGACCATCAAGGGCTGTAAAGCGACCGCCACGGTGTAAAAGCTGCTCCGCGGCGGGCATCCCGGCGAATTGAAAATATCCGAGCGACGCTAAGATTTCAAAGGTCGATCTCTCTCTGCATACCTCTTCGTCAGGCCGCTGCACGACAAAATAGGGACTTCCCTCGACAATGAGGCTAACGAGTGAAAAGTCCTGCCCGGGAACACCTGGTGAAGAGAGAGAAAATAAAAACGACAGAAGGA